ACAGCTGAAGTAGTTGCCAAAAAGTCCAAAATTATTTTTGACTTTTGGTGCATATCGCGAATACGCCACTTTTGATGATTTTGGAGCACATATCGTCGCTAAATACCCATTTCATGATCAGCATTCTTCTTTTTCATTGTCGCTACATCAAAGGGAGGATTTTTAACGGATTTCGAAGAGCTTTTCATAATGACCTTCACAGCTGTTCCCTGTGCTTCTAGTCAGTGCAGTTGTTAAAAATCTTTTTCATCTCTCAGGAATGACTGCATAGTTTCCAGGGAAGATCGAAGAGAAGTGTAAAGCGTTGAGGAGCTGAAAGTTGAAGCTTTTCAGATATGAAATTCGATTCCGACATTTCGAGCATATGGCACGCAAATCTAGCAGATGACTTTTTTTTGATTAAACCAATTCGTCATTTCTCGGACTCTCTGGCCCTGTTTTACTCACCGTTTTCTCACTTTTCATTTATATGACCCGGCCAAAAATGAATGAGCGCTGCAAGCCTGAGGAGCACGGTGGTCTTGCTGACCACGTCCGGAAAATCTCATCCACTGCAGCTTCAATCAAATTGCCCCCCATAGCTTGTTGAACCTCTTCTTTACAAAAAAAGGGAATTGTAATCATGAAAGAAGAAAGGCGTCTCAAAGAACAGCGGCTCACGAAATTGAGTTCATTACGAATCTGCATAAACCATGGAGGCAACATTGGGTATTGAAAATCTTCCGTTGCTGACCAATTTCTGAATTTCACATGGATAGGGGGCCTAGGGTTGTCCTGAGCGTCATATTAGCCTTGCTCCAGGAGGGCAAATTAGTGCTAGGTAAGTAATGCTTGACTCAGGTTAGTATCGGATACTTTGTCTGCTAGGACGAAAACAGTAAATTTCAGTTGCATATGGGGCACAGTAGTCTATGCAAGCCCAACCCTGGGGTATCTCTATTTCCACATTAAAGACGAATTCATGGCGCATTCCGAAGAGCGATCATTTAGTTCCGCTTGATTTACTATTTTAAACCTTCATTTAGAATAACTATTTAATACTTTCATTTATTAAACCCTCGAGTTACGTCATCGGGATAACAAAAGCGCAATTGTAATATATTTTGTTTTGAGATTTGAAGCCTTTCTGTGACGTCCTCGCTTCTTGGTGGAAGTTTGATTAAATGTGAGAAAAATAGAATTCAAAAATAGAAATAGACAGTGTAAACAAAGAAAATGTAAACAAAGCCGAAGCTGAAAGAAAACAGCATCGAGGCCTCTCTAAACAAAAAATTCTCATTTGAAGATTTTCTTCTTTGAATAATCTCTACGAGCATCACCCTGATTCCAATGGTTCAATGGCGCTAAAATTGACCATAATAAATATTAGGGTACGAATTTGGGGGATCAAATTTGCACAATAAATGGCCATGGGCGGAGTACGGTAGAGGCCGTTTTCAAGGATTTTTCGACAAAGGGGGATATGGAGTTTGGAAAAGGAGGGTCGCATGGGATTTGGGGAGGCTGTAGATTGAAGATGTGGGGGCATTTTAGGGACGGGGGGGAGGTGGGGAAAAGTGACGGAAAATTGCGCCTTTTTTGA